AATTGTCGACTGGCACTTAATAGTTACTCATAGATTGAGGACTTACTTGTTGCATTTATAATATATTGGGGACCCAAACTATAATTTTGCCTAAAATAGTCTCCATGATAAGCCGATCAAATATATGTGGCCAACGGCTACATCACAGGCCACGTGGGACGGAAAAGCATAATCCTATGTGGCATATGCATAGCCCTTTATTGGGTTCTTTTATATTCAATATTATCCCACAAATAAAAATTAGAAAAAGTAAGAGGGGGACAAACGGAGGTGACGGCGATAAGGCGATGTTGATGCCATAAAGCCAATAGTGATAACGGCGTTAGAGATGGAGATTGAAGGACAGTGGATAGTGGGCCTTTCTTTCATCATTTGAAGCTGTCAATGACGGCAACCAAACAATTGGTATTCTTTTATTTTTTTTTGATATTCAGATATCCCAACTTACACCAGACTATGTCCTGGACCATCCATCCCCAACCCTTCAGTGATGGGTGGAGGTTAACTGCGAAATATACCCAAGTTTACCAGGGTCCGTGCACTTTTTATACTTCTGACCCCAAGGGAGCCTTCTTCCATGGATATTACATCACCAATCTGCTCCACCCAAATTGAGTATTACAACACTCAGCTGCTCCATCCAAAAATCGAACTCCCCACCCTGAGGTTGCAAGCCCAGCAATGGTACCTTAAACTTTTACTTGTGTTTCATATTGCTCCCCAACCTTCAATATGAAGCATACAAATCCTCAATCTTTCAATTTAGTAGTACTGGTGTCCTCAATGGACAGTTTTACCTTTGGCTTTAATTTACAATCAATTTTCTTTTTTGAAAAGATGATCTTATCATTTTCTCTAAATAAACAAAAACTAAATAAGTAACAAAAAGCAAAAATAAAGACAAAAAGAAAATAAAATAAATAATAATGATCATTTCCTACTACAACATATTAACAAGTGAGCTTATATCTGATTTCAATTTTTAAAATTTCCGAAGAAAGATTAGGGTGAGCCGGTGAGATTGTTTCCTATACATGGAGCTAGAGAGACAAAAGTTCAACTTGACATGATGAAGGCACCCGGATAGATTAAATCATGTATTCTTATTCATAACGCTCTTAAAATTTGAACTTTTCTCGAATAAGAAGGGACCGTTTTCTTTCACAATTCATAGGTAGAAAGTTCGGCGAACTAAGGAGTTCGCCAAAAAAAAAATGTAGTCTAGTTTGGATAAGATAAGATGATTAATAAATAACTTTAAATGGAAAGTTGGGGATGACTCGAGGGCTATCAAATTGAAAGACTAAGGATTTGAACGTTACATTTTGAAGGTTGAAGCTCAAAGTGCTACACTGGTCTAAGGGGGGACCGCTGCTGATATTTGCTGTTTTTTTTTTTTTTTAAATTATCATCACAATTATTGCTATTACGTGTGTTGTGACAGTTAACTGGCAATGTTTAAGGCATGGTTTTGTTTTGTCCGTGTAATACACAGACAGAAAGACCTGTTTCTGAGATCGGCTGGCCGACATAAGATTTAAAAAGTAATTAAATTAGTTCTCCATTTAATTAGGACATATTTGACGTTGATCTTTTGAGAGTCGATTTAGAAAAAAAAATGTTTTTTTTGAAGAGCGTGTTGCTAAAAAAGAAGTTATAGGTCCACCACCCGTTAAACTATTTTATTGGAAGTATATCTGCTTAAAAATAAGTTTAAAAAAAGAATTTTAAAGAAGGTATCAATCGGGACTTACAAAGCCCAACAAGTAATTTATTAGACACTATCCGAATACAATTAATGATTGACGTGACCATGGGACACAACTATATATGTGATCTGCAATGATACTATGTATGTTTGGTATCAAACTCCGGTTCAACAGGAGGAGCACATCTTGCTGATGTGCCTTGAATGATCCACATCTTAACGTCAGACATCGATGAACATGTTGAACTATCCATGTGGCCGAGAGCCTTCACAACGATAACTTAAGGATGACCATTGATGGTGGATTAAATTGGTGACAATATTATCAAATCAACATATAATATAATTAGGGGAATTCAACTCTAACCTCAAATCAAATGACATTTAGGATAGGACACACAAAATTCGTCATTTTCATAGCACGTGGCAACTGATATTCTTTTTTTTATTTTTTTTGATAAGAACTTTTCATTAATCAAACGGATAAACCGATTACAGACGAAACAAGCCAAATAGCTTGAGACAAAGTCTGGAATACTATCCAGGACACAACGAAGTTACAACTGTGGCTTATCAATACAGAAAAACCTGACTACAAGTCACCTAACGCAATTATAGCACCCCCGCATAAAGTGACGGGCATTGTCTAAACTTCAAATCTCTCCAAAGGAGAGAGCGAACACACAAAAACACCAAACCTAACCTAACCACACCAACAAAACAGAAAAAACAACAAACAGACATCACAAACTAAAACAAAAAAAAAAAACAAACACCAACACAAACAACACCCAAACTGGCGGAGGCAACCACCGGCTCCTCCACACCCTCCTCCTCCGGCGGCAAAGACCTGCAGAACGAAAAAACAAGTGGCAACTGATATTCTTGATAAGTAGCACATAGATTTTTTATTTTATTGGATATTTAGTCGACAAATCCGCCTTCATAGAAGAAGCTTGGGGGAGAAAGCAACTGATATTCTTGATAAATAGCACATAAAATTTTAATTTGTATGTCTTCGACTTTATTAAAAAGCTACTAAAAATTTCATTTTTCCTGTTTAGATAAAGTCAAACATTAATTTCAAACAGACATTCATAACTGATATGATTCTGTTATCTACACATTTTGTGAAACTCATTATTCTATTTCTCCTTAAACGTTACTAATAATTTTAGACGAATAGATTATTTGTATCAATTGAATCAGTAAACTTCAATTTTAGTTTTAATATTGTAATTTCGTTAAAAATTCAGCGACCATTGTATGAAATTTAACCCCAAAAAATGCATAAGACAGATTAACTGGGACGACAACAAGGCAAAATTGTCGAGAATTTCTATGAGACAAGGCGGAGATATTCGTGAGGCAAGGTCGACGCCGAGGCCCCATCCTCCATAGTCCATCCCGCCATGGATTTCCATGAGCTCAGATGGGCAGGACCGGTCCATTAACTTGTGTATTTTTTTTTTTAATGGGAATTTACTTGTGTATTTATTACAATATGATGTAAATTTTAACACATAAGAACGGAGCGTGTCATTTTGCCATCCTCGAGATTAATGTATCGAAGCATAGTTGTTAGATTTGACCCGGACAATGTAACGGCTCAATGGATTAGTGTTCAACCGGTAACTTGGTGATTCAATCAGCGGGTCATTGTATAAAAACCTACAAAAAAAAATGAAGTATACATTTTTTTTTTTGGGCAAAATTAAAATTTATAATTTATTTTTCACTAATTATTTAGGTCTATAAAATAAAGTAAAATGTTGGACCAAAGTTTTTTCAGAGAATATTTTTATAAAATCTATAAATGATTAATTGGTTTGTTGGACCAAAGTTTTTTAAAAGAACATTTTTATAAAACCTATAAATGAATCATTAAATAAATATAAGTTATTGCACATAAATAATACTAAAAAGTATTTTATGTTCAAGTGGTGAGAAATCCATTATTTTCCTTAGAGGTCTAATGTTCAATTCTTTTGAAACCAAAAATTTTGTAAGAGGATTTCAAAATCCAATCGGACCGGGTAAATCGCCAGTTAACTCGGTCAAAATGACCGAGTCAAGTACAATTCTTTCAAATTAATCTGCATGGCCCGGGCAAAGGTCCGGGCCTCCATTTTGCCGATTCAACCGGCTGGGTCGGGCTGGGTTTTATAACTATGTATCCGAGGGATGGGATCACCATTATTTTCTTGGTAGTTTCCTTTTTGTCCTCTATACCTTGTTCATAATTTCAGGGCAAGTCTTCAATCTTAAACTCTATTTCAGTTCGATCCCAATCTTTTTTTTTCCTTCATAAAAACCGTTGCAACATTTTAGTTTTATGTCATTGTTCGCCCTAATCTCAAAATGCATTTTCATTTAAACTTCGTAGTTACTCATGCGTTCTATTAGTCAAACAATTCGAAGAATTTTACATTAGATAAAAGTAGTAATAATAATAATAATAATGTTCAAAGAAATAATAAATATCATGATGCAATTCGCGACCTATAGCATGCAAGGAGGGGGAAAAAACATTTTAAGGGTGTGTTTGATTTCAAACATGAAACTTGTAAGGAAAAAAAATAAATTCTATTTGCATAAAAAATTTTATGCTTAGTTTTCATACTAAAAAATGTTGTACTTACAAATAAAGTTGAATTTTTGAGAAATGTGAATTGTCTAGAAAAAAAATATCCACCCCTCCTCCTCCAATAAAGAAAATGTTGTCCTTGTTTTTTGTGAAAAATATGATCGCGTGATCAACTTTTTGAAAAAAAAATTTCATGAAAAAAAATGTCAATCAAACACATCAAAAGTAAGAACTTGAGTGAAAAATAACACCGTCCATTGAAAATAAAGATAATCAAACACATCCATTGATTTCAACTAGAGACTAAAGCAGAAACTCTGTTTTGGCCCTCATTTCTTAATACATATTTTCTCCGACTCATTTTTAACAACATATTTAATGAGACTAACAAATTTTATTAAATTATCAATCACACTGTATTTCACCAAATTTTATCAAAATTTATTAAAAATCTAATTTTTATCCAAACAAAATGAGAGCTTAGGGTGATTTCCCAATAAAAATTTTTAAAAGCCACTAAACAGAATACATAAAAGCATTGAGGAGAAATTCTGTGACAATGTAAAATTATATCCTAGGAAACAAGTTGGTAATATAACACCACAACCAATATTGTGAAATAACATTACAATGTGTATTGCCCACTAGATCTCCATTTCACCAAAAAATTTGTCCAAACACTGCAACAACAAATACAGGATGATCTTATTCCTCGGACAAATTACCATACTGCCATGGATTAAATTCTATTGACTGAACATCATCTAGGACGATTGCGTCTGAAGTATCAACAGTATTTCGATGCTCTGTGTACTTGCCATTGAAACGATATATTTCCAACTCTCCCCATGGCGTAGTTGTAACTTCATCAGTCATATCAAACCATTTTGGCTTAAAATTATCGCCTTTTGCTTCTCTGTTTTTCTTTTCAGTTCTCTGTTTCTCCTCCAAACTAGAAAGATGTAAACACAGGAGTGTTACATGATACACCCCGCAATATCAAAATATATAAACAACGAGGATAATGAGATAAACATTGAATTGAGAGGGAAAAGGGCCAAAGCACAGAAAGGATCCAAAATTGAAAAACAAAAAGTGCAACTTCCCATATACAAACAAAAATGAAAATAGATTAACTAAAACAATTCAATCCAACAAGGTTATGATAGCAATGCATTGGCTTCAGAAAATTTTCTGAGGTTCCAAAACCTATCATATTCTACTTGAAATATTCATGTAAAGGAAACCTCTATTGAAAGACGGTTAGGAAAATAAAAGATATTATCAGAATGCAGAAGATTAACATGGAAAATAGAAAAATGCATCAAAGAATAGGAATGTATCTTATTTTTTACTCAACATTTCTCAAGGTGCTGAAAGCAAACGCAGAAAAATGCCAAAAAGAACAGCAGAAAATGGTAAAAGGCCCTGTGATTAAACCAGACATTATATAATCCGAGATGTCCTCAAAGAGCAAAACAAAACTCTTAAAATTAGAAGATCTTAAGGGGTCTAGTCTAAGGCTGTAAAAAAGCACTTGCTGTCTTATATAAAGAAAAAGGAGAAACTAAGTTCTTAAATTGAGTTTGCAGAACTCGATTTTAGCAGTTTGGGATTGAGAGAATGAATATTAAGGTGTGCTGCAATTTGTTATTCTATGGATTCACCATATCATTCAAATTAATAATGCGGTCAATTGAAACATTAGAGACGAATTCCGAACTATAAAACTTAGGAAACTATGATAATAATAGCATATATGACCATAAACAACCCTTGATGATTCAGATGCTTGCCAATTATTTATGTTCGAGTAATTTAGAACCAGCGATCGATCTGTGTATGTGGAAAGGAGGAATGCACACATGTACACCTACATTACATGTAAATAGTTGAATATAGAGAGAGGAAAAAGAGAGAGACCTGCTCTTTTCAGCACCAGCTTTGGAGAGGTCACCCTTCTCAAGTGCCCATCTATCAGGACGCAAACGGGAATCTGATGCCAGCAACTTCTTGGGAGCAGTGTCAAAGCTGTTTAATTTATGTGCAAAGTAGGTATACTGAAATTCGTCTTTTGCTGGAGTTTCCGCGATATGCCAAACCTGCTCAAACATTTCTAGTCACCAATCCCCCAGCCAGGCAAGAATTAACAGCTAAGCTAGTATGCTTAAATAACATATGGACTTCCCACGGTTTTAAAGCTTTTTATGTGAAGTATAAACATTTAAACTATGATAAGCAATCATCTATAAAATATCTAAACATTCAACAGTCATACGGTTCAATTTGCCAAGCCAGGATATCCATCATTGCATAAGATCAAAGCAGTATAATTCGTTTTGTTACCATTAACATTAATAGAAACAAAGTCCTCCAAATACAAACCCAGATCTTGATGCGGATGGGCATGCTATTAAAATCTCACTTACCAGAGTTCGTTCCAATACGGTTAGTGAAAAAAGAAAAAAAAAATTGATACAGAAGTGATCAAGAAAGCCAGCAACAATAGCATCACACAGCAGTCCCTCAGCCCCATCTTAATAGATGAAGTTTTCAAATCTCTCCATTGGAATGACCCGTGATTTGAGAAAAGAACGAGATAATACATCAACATACAGGAAATAGGAATAGCAGTCTCTAGTTCACATTGCTACAAATAGGTTGGGGAGTTCAACAGGAAATAGATTTAGAAAAGTGAATATCAGAATGCTAACAAAATAAACCTCTTTCAGTTCTGTGCCAGGAAGAGGTTCCCCTTCCGAATCACATGGTTGATAACTCAGGGACTCGCTCCATTTTCCAGTCATCAATATTTTAGGTTCTTCATCAGCATTGTACACATACCCATCGACCTCATACCGATTAGCTCTGCAAAAAAAAGGATCTGTTAACATCAAAAAACATTTGGGAACCTGACAAGCATAAAAAACATTTCTGACTGCATAAGAATAAGGAAAATAAATAAATAAATGTACAGAGACTCAGAAAATACACACATACGCACAAGGAGGAAAGAGAGAGAATTAATAAAGTAGATAAAAAGCCTAATCAAATCAAAAGGGCAATGTAGTATTTCTTAGTTGGTGTGTATTGAGTTTGTTAATTATTATTACTGGAATTGATTACCAAACAAGTTAGGTTTTTTTTTTTTTGGGGGGGGGGACTAGCAAAAACAGCTCAAAATCAAATTAAAGGAAAAGAATTTCTTAGTCTTGCTGTGAGGCATCTCTAATGCTAACTTCTGCATAATAATATATCCAGTCATACTCATGACAAGAAAAAATCTGGAGGTTAATCAAAGTCTCAAAAAGAACATCTAACTAAAAGCACCATACAAAGCTACTCTTCCGACAGTCGTAAAGATAGCGAAGTAGAAAAATCATCTCTATGGAAGTCAAGAAAGAAAGGTGAAATGAGGAGCAACATACCCAAACCAACCGCAAGGTTGAAAATACAGAACAACTTTGTCCCCTGTAGTCAAGTTTGTCATGACCATTTCTCCAGGTGAATCCACCCAGGTTCGGCCAAATATCAAATTGTTAACCTTCGTAGGAGGCGGAACTAAATCTAGAACAACACCATCTCTTTTAAGAGTCACACGTGTTCTGCATTAAAAAAAATGATAAGAATATAAATTTTGTTTAGAAATTCAACAAGAGGCAAATAAATTAAATTCAACATGGAGAAAAGATTAAGATCAACAGTGGATCAGATATGAGAATTACCAAAGGACAAAATATATTTAACAGAAATGATACAAATGAGTATTTGTCATTACCTTCCAACAGGATAGACATCAACAGAGTTCCCTAAAAATTTCGTTTTTAACTTAGATGTCACGTCATATGTGAAATGCTCATTTTCAGCATGTCCGGCACTCATAGGAGGATGATGACTCACCTAAAAAATACAAAACATTGAATTAGCAAATAAAAGGAATCCAGAACTACAAGCAGCATAAATAGATTTATTTAGTTAAATGTATCATGATTCAGAACCAAGAATTCAATCATGTGAGGGAAATAAATTGCTCTCCGATAAAAGGGGCGCTTAATTATAACCTCCAACAGTTGGTTCAACAAACCTAAACTGCTCAAAAGCATGTCAAATATAAGCAGCAGGGCACCCCATGTTTTCATTGTTGCTTATGAGCACTCAAGAGTGCATATTTTTTGAACTTCAAAATCAAATGCTGTTATGTGGTTATAAGCATTTATATTTGTAACTTGAATTTCTTAAAAGCTATTGGTGCTCATAAACAATACCAAACACCCTTATCTGAACAAACTAGAGTGTCAATAAACAATAACTCACTTGTTCAGAAATAAATGTAATCCCTCCATGGTCAACCAGTTCATATGTCTCTCCAAGAATTGGATTGAAAGGCTTCCAAGTGCGTTGGTAGGCAAAATAAACAGATACTGCCCACGATGCTGCATCAAAAAACACATAACTGGCACTGCATCATATAAATTTCCTCATAATTTCATTAGTGAGAATCATTCCCCATCATTGAAGTGCTGACTCTATATATATTTACATCATGAAATACTCACATGCATACACCAACCGCATGTAGGGATCCTCACATTCATCTGCTTGATCCAAAAGGTACGAATATTCCATCAACTGCCATGAGCATTGCATAATTAACACTAACGAGGTGCTTTAAATGATCAGATATTAAGGCAGCAGCATATGCAAAGAGATTCACAAACCTCTGCCATTTTCTGAAGCATTGTCATTGGCTCAAATATAAGGACAGGTAGCGTCACCATTGATGTGATATCAGAACCAATATATTTTTGCATCATTTTCCAATAACTATCACGTTCCTTTGAGAAAGTGAAAGATCATTCAGTATACACATATAATGACAGCAATAATTAATTTGTCCGTGAAAACAGCATAGAGGATCATCAATTAGGCATAGAATAAGAAAAGTTACACAGTATAAAAATCAATAGAGGAACGAGTTAACATATATAGACTTCGACGCCAGACCAGCAGACCAATATGCCCCTTTTGTCTTTCATTCAACTTCCATCATCTACCAAGTGACTTTTATGTGGTTTTGTCATTTAAATAATATTTTTATAGTTTCCAGGATTATCCAAACACTTTTACCGAGACAATTTATTGCTTATGACTCTAATAGATATAATGCTCTCTTATCAATGCATATATTTCTTTAATGAAACTTTATCCACATGTCAAATCTTAACCAAATTTTGTATATATATGGATGCTTAGAAAAACCAATCACCAGAATATCAATCCGTCAAACTAATACATAGATTACTTCCAAGGAGTAAGATCCCAGGCTACTTCAACTTTTTGAGACACTGCTTTTAAATAGAAGACATGTACGGATAAAATTCTTACCAAATGCATCCCTTTCCCATATGCCAGAGATATCATGAACAATAGTTGAAGAAAGTGGCATTGTAATTATCTAAAAGAAAGCGTATACAGTAAAAAGCACCCACCTCCTGTTGCCATCTTCCTCTCTGGGCTTCCTCTTCAGCATCTTCCTTGCCTCCTTCTGGATTTATAACTTCCACCCCTTCATAACCAAGCAATCTAGTTGTAGGGACAAAAGGTATATGTTAATGAGCCTTAACCAGTAACATTATATGTCAGGAAAGTAACATTGATTCATCTAAAGTCAACCTGAATAAAATCAGTACAATTAGTATTTATTAGGCATTGATGAGAAAAAACAAGAACAAAAAGCTTGCAAAAATTATTCTTATGCACGAGTATCTGGTGGTGTTGGTCCTGTTGGAAGCAAGTGATTGTCAAACAGACAAATAAAGCGCATAAGTGCTTAGCACAATTAAGGCCTTTATTTTTTATGTGCTCGTTATTTCACGGAAATCAATTTCAACCAGTAAAATGTCAAAAGAAAAAACACATAGTAAAAATAAAGAAAAAGAAAAATTCCAAACCAAACTTAGAAATAAAATGAAGAATCCTATCATTAGGTTACTCAATATAGCCAAGTGCCTATTGGTTATTGCAAATGAACAAAGACATTAACAACAGGTAATTTGGGTAATAAAAAGCGCATCTATGGATAGCTTCACATTAAGCAAGCTAATCCTGACCAAAATAAAAAATAAAAAAGAGAGATATTTGACTTAAAGAACCAAGCTAAAGAAAGCCTGACTAGCTTGAAAGTTTCATAGACGAGCACACCATATAGTCTTTTTTCGCATCTATATTTCTATATAGTCGTAAAGAAAAATTGAAAGGCCGCTTACTGTTCATAATTAAAGATTTATATTTAAAACTCTCTTGATTTTAGGATGATCGGTCGGTAATGACATTGAATTTATCAAAATCATGGCCTCCAGTGTGCTTAGTTACAAGCATGAGATTGGATTTTCATAAAATAGCTGAGTAAAGCTCCTACATACTGAAATCATCAAAGTCAAAACACATAAATTCTTTAGCTAGTCGCTGACCCAAGCTGGGTACATTCTTGAATTTATCGTAGCTTCCTTCATTTGTAGCCAGCATATATGACAAATGATAAAGCTAATGGAAAAGAAGAAAATTTTTACTCTCATTATCAATAGGATCTGAATATTCATTAAATCCAATCACAGTTATTGCTCTAATGTGATGGTAATCCTTTATCCATCAATTCTATATTTTAAAGCCGTGACATAATATTTTAGAATCTTGACTCTTGTTCTCTGAGTGGGACATGCGAGACACCCATCTTTACATGCACAACTTCAACTTTTTATTCTGCAAACCTTTCGGAAAACTAAACAATAAATCGGTGGCTTTCCGCAAGTTGCATCCTGCGACCGCTATCAACTAAATAACAGAAAGCAAACTGCAGCTAAATCTTGCACATGCAAGTATCACTGTATGAAAAATCAAAATTTAGATCTTTCAATGACCATAATTAATCAAGTAAAATTAAGAATCTCCCTGGTTACATGATTGAGCGCGCACACACAAACAGAATAAAAACGTATGAAAAAAAAGGGGGAATTAATACCCGTTGACCGATCTATGCATGGCGCTGCTGAACATCGAAAAGCCCGATGTCATGGCGGAAAAGAAACCGCCCTTGTTTTCATTCTTATTTGGTGTCCCCATCTCTGCCGCTACAACAAAATTGCCTTAATCGGATATAAATTGAATTCTATTCCACAGTATTGGGAGAGTATTCTGTAGATCGAGATGAGTATTAACCCTAATTTGGGTCGATCCAATCGATCTGTGATTGGAGATGATTGCAGATGATGATAAACTAATTATAACTGGCAGAAATCGGAGTATGAATAAATAAAGAGGGGCAAAACAGGAAACATAGAATATAAGACTAGTTGGCGGTTCTTCATTTCGAGAATTATTTTAGGAATAATTACAGCAGCAATCCCAAATTTTTCGCCTTTTTACAGACTTTATCTTAACCTTCACTTTGTACCAATTACAGTCTCAAATCTTTTAAAAATTAGTACACAGGGTTCAAATGGATGATTTATGTTAATTTGACCGTTAGTTGATCCAATAAATTAACTTTGACCAATTTTGGAAGGGGTATAATTGTAATTTTGGACTTTTCTTATTAAATAATTAACCAAAAAAGGATGGAGAAGAAACAAAATTAGGTCCCCAATAAGTTCACCTAATCGCCAACCAAATCAACTAACAATCCAACCCAACTCCACTACGCTGACAACCACCACTCACCATCTCATTCCCATCGTGCCAGCCAAAATCCACGCATTCACACCCATCGATTCAACATAATCATCAACAAGGTTCGAGAGTTCTTTATTTTTATGGCCCGCTAGTAGGTGGTGCAATTGTATGGTCTACATTTTGGGTCGTTCAAGCTGGTGGATTCGGTGATAGCGTGTTTTGAAGGCTGCCATTTTGCTTGTTGATTTGACTACCCATTTTAAAGAATTCTTGAAGTTTAGTGATCGTTTGTGTGTATATGGCTTTGATTTTGTGTGTATATGGCTTTGATTTGTGTGGGGTGGGATGGGGTGAAACGGTGAATGCAAGAGGAAATTGACGGAGTGTGATAGACAGAAAGGTCACGCGGTGGCGTTGGTAGCAGTTGTTGGCTCGATGTGAATAGGTGAATGGCAGTTGCCACACTGTGGTGGAAATGGCTTGGATTTTGGTTGGGCGTGGTGGGTGACGATAGTTGACGCGACGTGTTGATTTGGATATGGTGGGTGATGATCGTGATGGATGGCGATCCATCGATGCCGCAGGTAGGCGACAATGGACTGTAGTTGTGGGGTTCTTGGTTGGTTTTAGGAGGAGGTGGGATGTGAGGAATGATGAGATGAATACTGAATTGGTTTTTTGTTTTTTTTATTTTTTTATTTTAATTCAAAGTTACCATTATACCCCTTTTAAAATTAGTCAAAGTTAATTTCTTGGGTCAACTAATGGTCAAATTAACATAAATCATCCATTTGGATCCTAAGTGCAAGAGGAAATTGACGAAGTGTGACAGACAAAACACGCTATGGCGTTGGTAGCAATTGTTGGCTCGATGTGTGAGTAGGTGAATGGCAGTTGCCACACCGTGGTAGAAATAGGTTGGATTTTGGTTGGGCGTGGTGGGTCACGATAGTCGACACGATATGGTAATTTGGATATGGTGGGTGATAATCGTTGGCACGGGGTGGGACGATGCTGCAAGCAGTGATGTAGTGGTGGGTTTCTAAGTTGGTTTTAGGAGGAGGTGGGGTGTGGGGAAGGATGAGATGAATAGTAAATTGGTTTTTTTTAAATTTTAATTCAAAATTACCATTATACCCCTTTTAAAATTGGTCAACTAATGGTCAAACTAACATAAATCATTCATTTGGATCCCAAGTGCTAATTTTTAAAAGGTTTTGGAATTGTGGGTTGCACAAAGTGAATGTTAAGGTAAAGTTTTGTAAAAATGTGAAAGCTTTGGGACCACTGCTGCAATTATTCCATTATTTTATAGGATCATGCTAGTGGTACATCAAGATTTACATCGGGGTTTACACCTCTCTCACATGGGAGGTGGGGTCCACTCGAATAAAAAAAACATTATTTCAATGGGTCCCACCTTCCATGTGAAAGAGATGTATCCCTTGATGTACAAACTTTGATGTACAAGTGAAATTGTCCTATTTTATAATATGCGAGTTAGTACGTAGTGGATGTCTGAGATTCTGTCCTCCCGTTGTGGGTTGCGTGAGGAACACACTCTAATTGTTTGCTCGTGATACGGAACGAGCCAAGTTGGCGTCGACTTGCAGTTGAGATGATATTTATGAATTAAGTTTTTTCTCTTTATAAGCTTACACGTAAGCCCTGTTTGATGGTCATTGTTTGGCCAAAATAATATTTTTAATAGTGACTTTTAAGATAATATGTGATTAAAAAGTATAAAAAAATTGAATTTACATGCATAATATTTTATCATGTGAATATATTGTTGAAAATGAGTATGTAGAAAAAAGAGTTTTTAAATAATTGTTATCAACCAGGGGCTAAATGATAAGTGTTATAAAACTAGAATTGACTTATCAATTCAGTAACTGAATTAATGATTGAAAGATTGACCGGTGACGCACTTCTTCATTCGAGTCAATCTCCGAGTCAAGTCTAAAAATTATGAGTAATGGATTTTAGTTTAGATACCTTGTTAAAACTAGGATTGACTTATCGGTTCAGCCATTGGATTAACGGTTGAAACACTTTTATTAAGAGAATATGAAACATTGATTAATTTTTTTTTATTATATTTTTTCAAATCGCAATAGTTTAGTTTAAGTGATTCAATTACTTTTCAATGAAAATTTTTAAAGTTATATTTATGTGTTACGTGTCCTTCAAGTGACCAGTGACGAGATCTTTATTCTTAGCAACTATTTTTATTTCTTGCAAACGAGGGAGAGAGAAAAAGGATCAAAATTTAAGAAAACGCATACAACCCTTCGTCATTTCCAAGCAAATTGCAAGGTTAATGGTTTGGTGTTGATAGTAATAATGCCATGTGGATTATTTGGAAATGGGTGGTGCACGGTGGCTACGAGGGTGGAACATCGGACTCCTATCGATCAGCCAAGTCCAGGGAAAATAATAACTCAGTAGATGATCCATCCACAAGCCTCGAAAAGCATCATTTAAACAATAAACAAAAAAAGACAATAAGAAATGCAAAATTTTGGACTCTAGAAAAGTATCAGTTTATTTTTTCATCCATAAAAGTTCGATATCGTACTCGTCTACAAGGAAAACAAAAGATAGGAGTGCGTTTGATTTGCCGTTTTGAGACCATTTTCAATTTTCATGGGAATGCGAAGTCAAAACTTGACTCAATTCATCACTAGAAATCTTATTGACCCTTTGATTTCATGTATTTTTTCTTTTCAGATTTACTGTTGGCTTGGTTTTGCTCCTTGACGGGGTCAATGGAAATGATCACTGTTCCTGGTGTCATTATCTAAGTTGTTTACCTACACCGTTCTGGAATTGTGAAGCGCGATGCTCGGTAACAATTGTGTAACTCTATATTTCCCGACTTGACTTTTGCATATATAGAAGTTGAGGCATGTTTTTTCTAACTGATGAATCACATGCCGTGTGACTCTGCAGACTAGCCAAGAAGGCAATCAAGTGAACATGACTTGCTTGGAGAACCACAAAAGCAAGATTTACATATTGGGCAATGGAAACACCCAGGGGTGGGCGTGAGTTGGATTGGGTCGGTTTTTTACTCAACCCAAACCCAACCCAACCCAACACGATCGGTTTGATAGAAATTCAACCCAATCCAACCCAACCCACGTAAAGATTGAAACCCAACCCAAGTAAATGTCGGTCGGGTTCGGTTGGGTTGAAACAACCTATCAATAAATATTAAAGTCCTAAAATACTGATTTTTTTAACTGAATATCAAGCAACATTAATAGTCTTCCAATATCAATACATTTCAAATATAAAATAGTAAAGTCCTCCAAATATCCATCAAAATAATTATCCAATAACAATTTACATAATTTATTACAAATTTACAATACTTAGGCAAAACATTACTGGGACTTGGCACAAACAAAAATAGGTGACTTCAGCCCCTGCAAAACTATTGGGAGTCTGGGACTTGGCACAAGCAAAAATCTGACTTCAGCTCCAATTCTGTGACTTCAATTGGTTCTGGCTGCAAAAATCTGACTTTAGCTGATTCTGGCACCCCTCTGACTCTTACATTGCTGGAAAGATTAAGCAGTTGAAAGAATAAATTGCAACACTTGAAACGATTATTAACTAATAAATGAGAGAACACTTCCAGAAGTACAGAAGCCATTGTTAAGCCATGTATGTGTATATATGCCAACATAATTATGAAAGACGAAAATATGATGCTAACAACCATTTTCCTGTTGAGATAAATTCGTGTCCTGATCCCGTAATTGGATTGAAAATCGACGTTAGTATTCAACCCAAAGGTAGAAACTTCATATTCTTCAACCTATGGAAAGGTACATATTGAAAAATTTCATTTTATGATTGCAATGTATCAATTTATCAGAACTTAGTTTACGTGTTTCTGATTTAATTTCAAATTTCTGTTGCTGATTTTTTTTATATTCGACTACAGACAGATATAGCATCGGTTCTTCTAGAGGCAATGGAATACATAAGATTCCTTCAAGAGCAAGTTTAGTGCGCTTATTTCCCACAAATCTATACAAATCTTTTCAAACACATAACTAGAAATGCAGTTGTTATTAGTCTTGTGCAGTGTTCATATTTTGAACTACACTATACTAGTAAAGCTAGTAATGGAATTCTTTGAATTCTAGAGGAGGATATTACCCGAGAATGCTAAGTGGTTATTCAAATCTTTGATCCCAAGGCAAGTTGTTGTGTCAAAAAACTCAAAACAGATAGTTTGAGGGATAATGAGGTTCCAGGCACCTCTTTTAAAACATATAGTTTGTCTATTGAAGTTGTCAATCTTCAGAGATTCTAAAAACACATAGCATAACACAGTGATTCCAATTAAAAGAATTAGAAGAAGAGAGGATTTTAACAAGACTAGATACATAAAGTTTTTTACTTACAAACATAGCAGGAATAACAATTATGAC